CATGTTAGACACACTGTAGTACATAATTAGTTCATGTTAGACACACTGTAGTACATAATTAGTTCATGTTAGACACACTGTAGTACATAATTAGTTCATGTTAGACACACTGTAGTACATAATTAGGTACATGTTAGACACACTGTAGTACACAATTAGTTCATGTTAGACACACTGTAGTACACAATTAGTTCATGTTAGACACACTGAAGTACATAATTAGTTCATGTTATACACTGCAGCAAAGTATAAGTATAAGCAAACTGGTCTGAATTCTAAAAAGGGACAGATCGTGTCCTCTAGCGACAGTAAAACCATCCTTACACACACACACACAGATAAAGCGAATTCAAATTCATTATGTTTCACATACGCGCACCTCCAAGATTCAGTCCAAACAAACTAGGCCTAGGATTTAAATTTAAAGATTCGCCCCCTTCTTCTTCTTTGTTTCTATATTTTTATTATTCATACAGTCCCTTTTTTACCATCATGGTATAAAATGATAAAATTCAAGACATTAACTTCTCTTTACACTAGGATATAATAAAAAAGGTCATTTAACAAAGCGGTTCATTTTCTATTTCTCGTTCAAAAAGTGTTATTTAATCATTTTCGTATTGGTATACTTTAACAGTTTCCTTTCTAAAGTTTGTTTGATTCCTTTCAATGAGGTTTCTTTGTATTTTTCTAAAACTTGAAATTTGTAGAGTGCTGGAAATAACTATGGAAACAGCAAATAAAATGGGTATAAATAGGATTGTTCCCCTTCTACTGTATTAAAATGAACTGCGTCAGAATACAGTCCCGTTCTGACAGCCTACGTTGCCATCCAACCAACCATTCAGTAGGTGCTGGATGGCAACTCTGAAGAGCGTGTGTGAAACTAGTACCGTTCATAATAGAGGTGATCGAGATATAAAACCAGACGGTTCACTAGAGTTCTTTCTAATGATCTAGCTGAAAGTACAGCGGTGAATGTTTCCCACAAAAATCACTGATTAGGAGGGATAACCAAACCAAGAGGCTGAAATAGACATCAGACTTCAAACAATGGGATGAGATAAGCTAGAAAAGGGGCCCTCTTTACAGGTGAATTCAGATTCAAGTCGTTTGACAGCAATCAACGATAGTTGTTCGATAGCAAAGAGAAGAACGATATCAAGGTTAACTTACCACATCTACAGTGAAGCATGCTGGGAGACCAATATAAGTGTGGTGTTGGTGGTCTACACAAAATGGATGGCGCCCTGACTGCTGACAGGTACAATCAAATTCTTATCCATCATGTCATTCCCTCAGGAACAAAACCTGTAGGGCAAAGATTCATCTTCCAGCAGGAGAATGATCCCAAGCTTGTAGCAAATGTGGTGAAACGATACCTGGATAAAAGGGGTGGGGGTCGATGAAACACTCGCAACCATCATTTAGCCCGCAGAAAGTTCTCGTATTCATATTATTCAGGCTGCAAGGGAATTGTGGGGAGTGATACAGAATATTTGGAACAACATTTCACAATGTAAATTTATAGTAGCTTAAAAACAAAATGCGCTGTTCTGTTTAAAGTAAACACAAAATACTTTATACAATTTATTCACTTTTATTTTATACTAGCAGGTGCCTGTTGAAGCAACTCAATGGATCAGAGTGTGTATGCAATATGATTGTCTAGTGGCTCGTTTACTAACGTATTTCCTCATTCTACGTGCTATTTCAATAAGGAAAATTGCATTGCGTTTGTTTTTAAGCACTTTAATGCCTTGTTGGTAAAAATGTTTGAATATAGATGTAATGGGTGCATCAAGCACAATAGTGCTCTCAGGTTCGCTAAGTAGATGCGGAGATTTTTTTCCATTGGATGCCACCATTCCTTGTCATTTTACCGAGCACAAGAAAAGACCGCTACCGAAGTGAGTGCTTTTTGGCAGTTGTCGAAGGGGAGTTATTCAATTCAATTCAAATCACTACTGACATGGAAAAAATAAAGAAAATAAATATAAACCAAATAACAAGAAATATACACTCAAACACGTTCCTCTTTTTATGCGTTTTTTTTTCTTTCATGTTCCTATTTTCGAAATATTGTGTTCTTAATAAGTTTTTCTCTCAGATTCAGCACGAATGAGAACCGACGTATGGATGTTGATAAATGATATGAAATTTTAGGAAATGCAAAAAAATTAATGATTTTTCTGTAATATACTCTACAAAAAAAACCATTTTGATGTGTATTGTTTTTTTTCTTCTACGGTTAACCGTTCAGGAGATACAGGCAGACAGACATTTACCTAATATATATATATAGATACTCTGTAATATGTATTACACTAATGATAAATTATCATTTAACTACAGTTGTTTGTGATTCCAGAGTGTGTATTTCCAACACAGTTAATTAAATCACCAGACTACCAATTAAACCAATTAAACTCCGATTCTCCAATAGCGCCATCTTGTGGAAACGTTGAAACAAGGTGGTGATGCGGATTAGCAAATATCAAAACTATAACTTATTTTATGAACAATTAAATGTATATATTGCCACAGTCATGCGTAAAATTCTTATCAAATTTTTCAAATTTGCGTCACAACGTTATAAACATATATACAACTTTTGTTACAAAGCTTATTAGGCTATGCTATTTTTATTTAGTGAAATGTTTTATTGCAAAACCAAAGCATTGATTATTTTACGTATCATTTACGCGTTGACCGCTTTTTTGGATGCACATCCTGGCACAAAGGACATCATTTCTGGTTCAGATGAAACGAACTTGAATAATTAGCTGAATTTGAAGCCCCAAGAATGTCTGAACAACTGTATTACCGTCGACTGACTTCTGTCTGGTGCCCTTCAGTGGCTCGGCCGTAAGTCTGGAGGCTTATAACGCTAAAAACCGGGTTGGGTTTCCATACTGTGGTGGGCATAGCACAGATAGCCCATTGTGTAGGTTTGCGCTTAACAACAAACAAACTTCTGTCAGAATATGGTAATTTTTATTGTTCACAAAACTAGTGACTAATGAGAGGAGTAGCACAAGAAAATGATTTGAAATCAATTCAGAATCGTTACAGTTTTGACATGAATAAGAGTGAAGCTGAATTGTTGAGTTAAAATGTTTGAGGAGATAAAGATTCTCAGTTCTGCAAGAAGACACAAGATGTCACTGCACGTTTGGATAACTGTGTTGTCGCTGTTTAATAAAAACTTTTCATATAGGTCTTTGTAGATAATAATATGCCTGTTACACGTATCTCTACTTGTGTAATTACATAGTTGCTTCCAGATAAAATTCTTGTATGCATCGTAGGTGGCGCTGTAGTATACAATCGCAAGCGAAACGAAGGTGAAAGTCCCGGAGATAAACCGACAGGTTTCGGAGACCGTTTATAAACATACCAGTTGCTGAAGGGGAAAGCGGCATGTAGAAATTTTATAACTAGATCTTATAAAAACAGGCGAAAAAAGCAATAGATTCGTTTATCGTAAGCCTATTTTATCTGAGTAGTCCGTATACGTTATTAAACTTAGGTAACATTTGTTTAAATAAAATAACGGTGAAATGTTTCTTTAATGAAGACTGTTCTCCAAAGAAGTTCTTAGAGAAAAGATGAACAGAGATCAGAACAACGGGGTTCTTCCTAGAGGTAAACATTTAAAGCTACTAGTTTTACTAAGTATAGCCCCCACCCCCGAGTGGCTCAGCGGTGAGCTCGACGGATTATAATGCTAAAATTCTAGGTTCTAGCTCTGTACTCAGCAACAACTAACAATAGACATAGTTGGTGAGAGAAGGATTTAAAGAGATTACAGTAATACTTGTAAGTTTATTTTATAGTCTTTATGTAGCTCTTAAATAATCGTTAGGAAAAGAAAAGCTTTCAAAATGTGATGTATATCCCTGTTTCTTTCAGGGTTTCCCATAAATAGTTGTTTGTTTGTTTTTGAATTTCGCGCAAAGCTACACGAGGGCTATCTGCGCTAGCCGTCCCTAATTTAGCAGTGTAAGACTAGAGGGAAGGCAGCCAGTCATCACCACCCACCGCCAACTCTTGGGCTACTCTTTTACCAACGAATAGTGGGATTGACCGTCGCATAATAACACCGCCACGGCTGAAAGGGCGAGCATGTTTGGTGGGACGGGGATTCGAACCCGCGACCCTCAGATTGCGAGTCGAGTGCCCTAACCACCTGGCCATGCCGGGCCATATTTGGTTGTCTCCTCTAAATAAAAACGTCTTGTTGGTGTGGTCTATTTCTTGGGAATTTCTGTAGTTTTTTTTTATCGACCAAAATTATTAAAAATAAACAACTTAAACTTTATGTAAATATTTGTAAGATCGTAATTCTTGATTTTTAACTGAACTTTACTGTTTGTTTTTAATTATGCACAAAGCTACACAAGGGCTATCTGTGCTCTGCCCACCACGGGTATTGAAACCCGGTTTCTAGCGTTGTAAGTCCGCAGACATACCGCCGTGCCACTGAGGGGCAGAACTATACTCCTAGTGAACATCGCACAACGTTTACAGATAGAACAAAGTAAAGATTTTTCCCGCTTAAAAATAGTTTCCAGTTATCGTAGTAACAGGAAATAAAAGACAATCTGCCCTAACTGGCAGATCTTTGTAAAATATTTGAAAAAGGTAAATTGATAAATAGACATTTGATTTTCGCTCTTATTTTCTTACAAACCCAGTTTTTGTTGAATTAAATTTAGTACCTTTTGGTTTCCATATGCCCTATTGTCCGAAGTAGTTACTCTTTAGTCCTGTTAATATCCATGACGTAATTGTGGCTAATTAGTTCAGGACACTTTAAGTAAGGGCTACATGATGGATCGTGGTTACAATTCACGCCTCTTTTGTAAAGCTTCACGTTAAGTCCCACTTTTTCTCGTTTATCATAAACAACAAAGAAAAACCTTCGACACCTTAAATTGAGATTTAATGCTCTGAATTTCGCCCCAGTCTTCACACCCTTCTGATGACCCGAGCACGTTGTTTACTAAACTTATTTATTTATTGTCACCTGAAATGTTTGGAAACAAAATGAATATGTATTTTTCGTTCGACATAAGAAATTTTTTATTATTATTAATTAACTATATATGTGTGTGATTATAAGTTTAACGATAAACAATAATTTGGCATTTTTTTATGTTTAAAAACTCACCTTGATATATTAAATATTTCTGTAAAAGTGAAAACTAACCTCACCTGACTTACGTTTCTTTAGTCGCTGTTACTCTATATAATCGTTTCTGTAATCTGGTAAAAACTAGTTTAAGTCTACCATCACGTTCTCGCTACAGTGATGTCTGCCACTCCTATATCCCGCTTGTTGTCCTTGAGTTGTTCGTATGCCACGGAACCTTCACACGTCCTCTACTGGTATAGTGTTTTTGTTTTGTTTAAAGTAATCCATAACTTAATGAGTGAACATGAAAAATCCCTGAGTCGAAGTTAAAAACTATTAATCAATAGACCTTGCTTATACTAGTTGTCCAGAGGTCGTTTTAAACGTCAGTATTTCTCTTACGTAGTGCAACAGAAGCAAAAATCAAGGATATAATGGGCAGAAAGCTATCAGCACTGTGCCCACCACAGGGATTGGACCACGAATTGTTGCTTTATAAGTTCTCAAGCTTACCGCTGAGGTACCGGGTTTGGTGCAATAAACCAATGCTAGTGCATCATAACAGCGATTGAAACAACTTATCGATTGGTTGCGTGTAAAAACGAGTGTAATATTGATTAAACAGAATTATTAATGTTAATGCTTGAAATATCTCATTCGTTAATTACTGATAAATTAGTCATAAACACATCAGCTCCTTACTTTTACTAATTTTAAACATGAGGGAAAAAAGTTGTGAAACTAAAACCTTTATTGATGCACTAGTACAAAATGGTTACTGAGAGTCTCTAATGCTTCCCCCCTCCCCCCAGTGGCACAGTGTTATGTCTGCGGACTTATACCACTAGAAATCGGGTTTCGATACCAGTGGTGGGCAGAGGATAGAAAGCCCTTTGTCTAGCTTTGTGCTTAATAACAAACAACAACAACAACAGAGTCTGTAATAATCAAGACATGTTTGACTCAACTTTGTTTTCCTTGTACTTAAGTCCTAGGCCCGGCATGGCCAGGTGGTTAGGGCGCTCGACTCGCAATCTGCGGGTCGCGGGTTTGAATCCCCGTCCCACCAAGAATGCTCGCCCTTTCAGCCGTGGGGGCGTTATAATGTGACGGTCAATCCCAGTATTCGTTGGTAAAAGAGTAGCCCAAGAGTTGGCGGTGGGTGG